TATGAAGAACAAGAAAAAGAAAGAGAATATGAAGATGAATATGAAAAGGAAGAAGAATATGAAGAATACGAAAAAGAAGAATATGAAAAATATGAAAAAGAAAGAGAATATGAAGATGAATACGAAAAGGAAGAAGAATATGAAGAATACGAAAAAGAAGAATATGAAGAATATGAAAAAGAAGAATATGAAGAATACGAAAAAGAAGAATATGAAGAATATGAAAAAGAAGAATATGAAGAATATGAAAAAGAAAGAGAATATGAAGATGAATATGAAAAGGAAGAAGAATATGAAGAATATGAAAAAGAAAGAGAATATGAAGATGAATATGAAAAGGAAGAAGAATATGAAGAATACGAAAAAGAACAAGAATATAAAGATGAATACGAAAAAGAACAAGAATATAAAGATGAATACGAAAAAAAACAAGAATATGAAGAACAAGAAAAAGAAAAATATGAAGAATACGAAAAAGAAAAATATGAAGAATACGAAAAAGAAAAATATGAAGAACAAGAAAAAGAAAAATATGAAGAATACGAAAAAGAAAAATATGAAGAATACGAAAAAGAACAAGAATATGAAGATGAATATGAAAAAAAAGAGGAAGAATATGAAGAAGAGAAGAAAGAATATGATGAAAAACAACATGAAAATGAAGATGAATATGAAAAAAAAGAGGAAGAATATGAAGAAGAAAAGAAAGAATATGATGAAAAACAACATGAAAATGAAGATGAATATGAAAAAGAAGAAGAACAAAAAGATAAACAAGAATATGAAGAAGAAAAGGTATTAAAAGAAAAGGAAAATGAAGAAGTGAAAGAAGGATATGAATATGAAAAAATAGAAAATGAAGATAAAGAAGAAAAAATAAAATGTAATTATAAAGAAGAAAAAAATATGTGTAATGAAGAAAAAGAGAAATACGTGGAAGAAGAGAAGAAAGAGGGTGAATATGAATATATAGAAAAAAGAAAAGAGGAATACGAAGGAGAAATTACTGAAAAGAAAAAATATGAAGAAGAAAAAGTAGAATACAATGATTTAAAGGAAGTATACGAAGAAGGAAAAGAGAAATATAAAGATAAAAATGAATATGATATAAAAAGAGAAGAATATAAAGAAGATAAAGATGAATGTAAAAAAGGAATAGAAGAATATAAACAAGACAAAGAATATGAAGATGAAAAAATAGAGAAAAACACAGAAGAGAAAAAAAGACAAAATGAAATAAAAAAAAAAGTTGGAGAAAATGAAAAACAAGAAGAAATAGAGAATATGTATCATGAACAAGGAGAAAATGTGATAGCGTATGAAGAGGTAAAAGAAAAATGCGAAGAATATCAAAAAGAAGAGAAAACAAAAAACTTAGAAAAAGAACAAGTGGAAAAAGTGAAACAAATGGAAGAGAGAGAAAAAAAAGGAAATGAACAGGAAAAAAATAATATAGAAGAGGAAATAGTTAATGAAAAATTAGAAAAAGATATAATAAAAAGAATAGAAGGAAATGAAAAAAAAAAAAAAAAAGAAGAAAACTTAAAATATATAAAAGTATTTGAAAAAATAAAAGAAAAAAATAGTGATATCATGAAAAAAATATTAAAAAGTAAAAAGGAGGAAAAATTTATAGATGAAAATATATTAAGTTCAAACTATAAACTTCAACAATTTTTTGATATTTTTAGTGACACCATTATTTCTAGTCTCCTAAAATTAAAAAATGATAAAATAGAATCATCCTTTTATCAACTAAAAACTTCTTTTATAAAATCAAATAATAAAATTAATTTAAATAAGTATATTAAAAAATATTATAAAAAATCTAATTTATTATCATATTATATTAAATACATGGAGAGACAAGAAAAAGAAATAGAAAAATTATTTCAAAATTTAACAGTATAAAAAAATATATATATATATATATAAAATAATGCGAAATGAATTTAATTTATTTAAATTTTTTATCTTTTATATTGTTTTTGACACTATGTGTATTTTCTTTAAAAATAATTGAATATATATTTTTGTTACATTCATTACATAATGTTCTTTATTAATGAAATTATTAATTTTCAATAAACTGTTATATATATTCATGTTGACATATTCTTTTTTTTTTTTTTTTTTCTTATTTTTTATAGATAACAAAAAAGGAAGTAGAAATTTTCAAAAGAAGATTTAAAATACATTATGGTAATAATGCAAATCAGAATGATATAAATCAAAACATTTATCTAAAATCTAGATTATTAAATAAAGTTAAATTATTATTAGAAAATAAAATAAAGAATTTTGATAAAGTTGAAAAAAATGAAGAAATTTATGAAATTATTTATGAATTCAGGGAATTTTTAGAATTATCAATAAGTTGTAACTCTTATGATAATAATAGAAGAATTATTAACAGTTTTTTGAAAAATAGAATTTTTGAAAATAAAAAATGTCTTCAAAGAAAGAAAACAAATGAATTCTATAGCTTAAAGGAAAAATACGAAGAATTAAGAAACAATTTAATTTCAGCAAAAAAAATAATGATTATTATATATAATACGTTTTATAAAAATGGGCATTTAACTAATTTGGATTCGTTTAATATATTAAGTGATATTAATATGTTTTTATATAATAAAGAAATAAGAAAAATAAACAACAATTTAAATAATCATTCACAATATAAAGTTTCAAAAAAACCAAGTTTATCAAACTGTGAAAAAGAACATTTAGCACCAGAAATAATTTGCATTTTAAATGTAAAGAAAAAAAATTTTGATAATTTTTTAATTAAAAATGAAAAAATGAAAATAATTAATTCAAACACTTTAAGCTATTTGAAAGAAATATATTCTTTTGATTCTATATATATAAATAATATTTGTTTTAATGGATTTATGCCTAATCATATAAGTAAATATATAAATCATTTCGTAAATCAAAATAATACTGTGTTGTTTAACTTTTCTATTAATTATTTAAAAAACAAAAAAATTTCATTTTTTAACTCATTTCAAGATTATTTTAATTTTGATAAAACAAAAATAAAAAATGAAAAAGTAAAAAAATGTAATTCTTCTATTTTACTTAAAAAAAGTGTTGAATTCACTAAAAGAAAAATTAAAAAAAATATAAAACAAAATGGCACCAAGAAAAAATCATACAAATTAAAAAAAAATTTAGTTGAAAACATATCTTATAATAATAATGAGAATAATTTTGAAACATCAAATAATAAAGAAGATTATAAAAAAGAAATGCTTTTTATAAAAATTATAAATGAATTAAAAAATAAATTAAATGAAGCATATTATGATGATTATGATTTAACACTAAATATTTATTCCCAAAAAAAAAAGCAACTTTATAATATTAGTAGATATATATTTAAAAATAAAACGAATAATTATGAAGATAATATGAAAAAAGATAAAATAAAATTTTTTAATGAATGTAATAATACATATCATAAATTAAACAAAAAATTAATAAAAAAGAAAGAAAAAAAAAACTACATTCAAAGATATGTGGATAGTTGTAATAATACTAGAAATAATAGTTCATCATACTTAAATAGTATTGATTTAAAAAGAATAAATAATATAAATCACTACATAAATTACCATAATATAAATAAATTTAAAAAATCCTCTATCATTTTTCTGATAAAATTAGAATTATCAATACCAGATGATACCAATAAAAAAAAAAAGAAAAAAAAAGAAATATTTCATTTTACTCTTGTTGATATAAATATACCAATTTTTGATATAATCAAAATGAATAGTGTTAATTACTTAGCTGAATTCAAAAATATGAAAAATTTTGAAAATATTTTTATAAATTATATACAATCTTATTTTTTTAATACAAGAACAACCCGATACTCGGATAATATTTTAAATTTTTTGTTTCGAAATGATCCGTATATTTGTTTTATTTTATATATCAATGATGACTTTATATTAAATAATAATTTTAAACATATGATAATTAAAGAAAAAGAAATGAATAATCAAATAAAAAATGAAAAAGACAAACGTTATATAATTTTACATTTGTTATATATTTATTATTGGTGCAATATATGTGAATGTTTCAATTTAACAAAAGCAATTAATTAAATTTTCTTCTTTATATATTAATCTTTACATCAAATAATATTTTATTATTATATTTTTTTTATTTTTCTTAATTTTTTTTTGTTAATTATTTTGTAGGTTTAATATCCACTACTATGAATGTGTAGTAAAACATATTATCTTCATATAACTTTTTTTGTCATTATAATATTAAATTTTTTTTTATTTATATTTCATTTTTTTGTCTTATGTTTATTATTATCAGTTTTTGATTTTCTTTTGATTAATCATCCCGTTTAAAGCTTCTCTTTTTCTCATTATTAAGAATAATTAATTTTTTTTTTTTTTTATTTTTTTTATATTTTTTAAATTTATTCCCATTTTACATATACTGACTTATTCTAATTATGTTTCTATTCACTTTTCTTTTTATGTCATTTTTTATATTAATTTCTTTTCTATATATTTCACTTTTTTGAATGATTTTTTTGGTTTATTATTTTTCATCTGTTTTTGAATTTATTTTATTTTTTATTACTTAATTCATATTTTAATAACTCAAAATTATAAACTAGAAATCAAATATTGTAAATAATTTTTTTTTTTTTTATTAAACAATTCAATTATATTTTTAATAGTAATTATAATAACACAATTTCAATACTTTAATTATTCAATAGATATAATAATAACAATAATATATATAAAATTAATTCAGTTTTTCTTTTATTATATGCATTGTTTTTTCCTTAGGATAACGTAATAATCTAAATAATTCCATGAAAAAATATAAAATAACCATGTATTTAATTATACTTAATATATATATATGTATTATATTGATATAAAAATATTTTTTTCTATTTACTTCTTACTATAAAAAATTCATATATTTTTTATACATATCAACTATAGCACTATTCATATCATCTATATTTTCTTTTAAATAGTTAACAATTAATTTTTTTTTATTATTTTCTTCTAATTCATTTATATCTACTAAGTATGTAAGTATATTATCGAGAGCTTTGTTACATATATCTAAAGAAAAAAAAAAAAAAAAAAAAAAAAAAAAAAAAAAA